TGTCGAGTTTCAATATTCATGTAGTTGTGTATTAATTCCTCTATCACCGTATTCACCCGCTCTACATATACTTTGTATTGAGCACTTTTGTTTTGGAATAATCGACTATTGTATCTACACTATATATATATATATATATATATATATATATATATATATATATATATATATGATTTTTTTATTATCTCACTGTCATTTATTTAATACTTAGTATAATATAAATAATTTTTTTCTTCTTTTAAAATTTCCAAAATTGCTGCTACATGTTGCGTTTGGTGATTTATTACTGAGCAAATGAGTAAATGATTGAACTGCGAATCGTCGCGGGGTCTTCTCTTCGGCGTTCTCGTGACATTTATGTTGATATTTCCATCAGGAATATCTGCGTAACGCTTGCATTGACACTTTATCTACCTTTAGCAGTCGGCGATGATTGGATAGATGTATGAGTCACGTGATATGTTGATTTCCGGTTATCGGAACATTAGCATATCATGTTCTTCTCTGATGTGACCTATATTCGTCATCGTAACCTTTCACAATATATAGATGAGTGGGAATGCATACGCTTGTTACCGATAGATGAGAATTATAATAATATTATACTCGGAGAAGTATCACATGTGACCGCGAAATTACTGCTGTATTATTATAATAACTACCGAGTTATACTCGCGATGAACCCACGGTCTGATGACGCTCATCGCGCACGTAGTACACGAGTTTGATCGAAACATGTAACATTTCTTGTAAAACGAGTTGCTTTTCATGATTATCTAGGCATGTAATGACCTATAGCACGTCACATTGATCACGAGGTTACGCTTACAAAACCTTGCATGCGGGATTTGACGGTGTTCTTTATTCGAGTTTTCAAAACAGTCCCGGCCGAGAACCTCGATACAATAAATGAACAAATCATCTCACATGGTTATATATAGATCGAGTGTAAATCAGGATGTGTGTTTGGATAATAATAAACAACGCAGAGGCATATTTAATCCGATTTTCCGAGAAGGATCGCGGCTTTTAGAATAAAGCACATACTGAAAATTAATAACAAAGAGAAAATTGTTCCAATATGTTCCCTTGTGTTAGTCTTAGTTATGATGCGTAACAATGGCGTCACGGTGATGGATGACAGAAAAATAATTGAATACTACACAGTGAATGCCGGGAACAGACCATACGGTGTTCGTACATACGTAGTAAACAAAGCAACTGTACATCGTGATTTGTGTCATCATATATCATAGAATGAACGGAGGGGGGGGGGCATTGTAATTGGTGCTGAACACGCGAATAAATTAATGTTCACATCATGTTCTTCTCTTGATGAAATCCTGCATATATTTTTGGAAGTTTTTTAATTAAAAAAATATAACTATTCGACCGTCTAATCGTGTTATTCCCGTGTTTTTATTTACGATGACGAAATGTGTCAATATCATCGGACTTGTCGTTATTCGTTGGGGGCAGTACAACCCCGCCGAGGTGATTGTTTACTGTTTGTTTGCAATGTTCTGCATGCCAGTCGATCGGAGTATTTTCAGTGTATCCTATTCCGAGCTGTTCATAATTACTGGAACAGTGCCAAGTCACTTGACAGTGTATGTGATGACATCCTACGATGTTGGCACATTGCCAATTTTTATTCTTAGTTTCCGATCCACTATCCGTGAATTCACGTTTCATATGTGGAAGAGCCGAGAAATATCAAATTAATGATTGGTGTGCTTACATTGTACTATACTACAAATTCAAATTTTTCAATTTTGTTTCAGTGCGATGGCAGCAAATGTTGTCATAACAATTAACATACGACATTATAGTCATCGAAAATAGTCATAATAAGGGGCTCTAACAACTGTACCGTTCTTTCTTAAACAACAGGAGATTCATCTAATTTCATTATATGTTTTGATTGTTAATTATATGTTTTCATTTACTTTTTTTTAAATTTAATTTAATTAATAAAAATTGTCACCATCAATTTTAACCACGGTAAAATCGAAATCGAAGCACCCGATGGAATGTTAAATTTGTATGGTTTGACAAGATGCTGGATTTATATTTTCTCGGGAGAAATAGTTTTCCGTAATCACTGGAGAAGGTTTTAACGGGGTGAATCCCTGATCCGACTATCCAATCACGTTGTAGTAATGCTGGAAACGTCACAGAAGAAGGTGATTCCTGGTCACTGGGTTTATATATTTACATATGCTGAATATGTATGAGACGACGACCAATAGAATCTTGGGAAATATTCACGTGACGGAACATGCAGAAGAAATATTTTGTAGCTCACAGTTAGCGGATGATGGTTGAAAGCGGAGCTATAGAGTGAGTTTACTGAAAACGACCAAGCCTTTTTATGCGTTTCTTATCGTTCTCCGTCGCTGACATTTTGCCAAGTGAATATTTACTACGACAGCTACCTCCGATACAATTTTTATAGGCGTTATGACATCGCAACAGCCTCAGCGGCCGCGGAGAAATGCCTCCCCGTCGTCAAAGCCCCCGCCGATGAAAGCTACCTTGGTGCCGATTTCGCTAAGACAACAAGGCAGTCCGACACGAAGTAATGGCCGTCGATCCAGTCCTACCTCATCGCCAACACCACTATGGGCCTCGGATAGTCACAGGGTTAAACACAGGCGTTCACCAGACCACAGAACGTCGCCAGAGAGGCGTAGTCCCACGTCGCCAAGCTTCAACAAAGGTAAGGGCATGCTATTCTTTTACTTGAATTTCCAGTCGCCATTTTTACTTCATTTTTTTTGTAATCCCCAATCCATGACCAAAATTTCCCGTTTTTCCGACTATTTCAGTGATTTCCTGAGAGACCCCCAGAGAGTTGTATACTCTACTCTCATTTGGCACCAAATTCCGTTAATATCAGTCTAATGTGCCAAAAATAATAACATTTCAATATTTAGTAGCTAAATAGTAGTGGATATCGATTCAATTTCTTCAGGATTGACGACACGGCACTGAAATTTTTTAATCTATAATTATAAGACCTAGTAAAACCACATGATATTAAAAAAAATGATAGGTCATTAGTAAATAATTGCAGTGCGTTTTCTTTTAATTTGATTTGTCTCGACTCAATCATGAATTTCACGTTCGTTATAATTTAACCGGTTCGTAAAAAAAACAAGGCAAGACGGCCTTGCGTGACACTTTGACAGGCACTTCTCGCGATTGGTCAACTATTTTGACACGGCTACTCGCAACTAATTCGATATTTCAATCCTCTTGTTCATTGCGTCTTAATTTATGAATAAAACGTCTTACTGAAAATATAATGTAATTTTAATAAAGTGGATTTTTTTTGCTATGCGGCAATAAATGTGATTACCTGTACGCGTGCAACGCGCCGCTGCAATACGTATTGCAGCATCATTTTCATTGTGCTAACCAGGGATAGCCAATGTCCAGTACTTGTATACTGAATATTAATTTTTCTGTAAAGATCCCACAACTCGAAAACATAATCTT